AGACGATCTCAAAGATTAAAATTATGAAGTAGGCTGTTTTGTAGTGTCAGGAATACAGCAATGAACTATTCAAAAAAGATTCCTGTTCTGGGGGATTTTATAATCTAATGCATGGCGACAGACACTAAACAAATACACTAGAGAGAAAATATCTGATAATGATGAGTGCTATGATAAAAACATAACAGAGTGATATGCCAGAAAGAGATGGGTGAAGTGACTGCTGTTCTAGGTGATCTGGACAGGAAGAGCTTTTCTGAGGTGCCATTTCAACTGAGATCTGAATGTCTAGAATAAGTCCTCTATGAGAAGATCTGAAGAAAGAGCTGGTAAAAGGCCATTAAGCAGGAAGGGGATGGTGCACTGAGAAACAGAAAAGAGGAGAAAAAAGCAGAAATGCCAGTGTGGTAAGATAATAGTAGACAAAGGGGAAAAAGAGGTATAAGGCAAAATAGATAGGAAGGGCCAGATATAGACCAATGGCTTTTATTCTATTTGAGATGTTATAAGCAGAGGAGTTCTATTATCTGACCTTTAAAAATTTTTTCATCTACTTTATTTTTGGAATTTGTATTTCATATCCCTATTATATCTACTTGGTTTTTTAAAATTAAATTTATTGGGGTGACATTTGTTAATAAAATTATATGTTTCAAATGTACAATTCTGTATACATCATACGTCTATTGCATTGTGTGTTCACTACTCAAAGTTAAATCTTCTGTCACCATATATTTTACCTCCTTTACCCTCTTCTACTTCTCCTCTTCCCCATTTTCCCTCTGGTAACTACCATATTGATGTCTGTGTCTATGAGTTTTTGTTTGTTTGTTTGTCTTGTTTGTTCATTGTTGCTTTCAGTTTTATGTCCCACATATGAGTGAAATCATATGGTTCTTGACTTTGTTTTAAAAGTATTATTCTGGTTACTAGTAAAGAATGATGTATAGAAAGCAAAGAACAAAAGCAAGGTGACAACAAGTAGGGAGCATTTGAAGTACTATAAATAAGCCATAATGGTAGGTAAGGCTACAAGACAGAACAGAAGATGGAGGAAAGAGTTTATACTAAAGATTAATTTTGGAGAAATAGTCAAGAGGACTTGTTGATGGATTGGATATGAGAGGTGAGGAAGCAAGAATAACTCTTGGGACTTTGAACGGCATAACCGTGTGAATGATTGTATAATTTACAAAAGTAAGATTTGGAAATTAGATATTCTGCTTTAAACCTATTTGGTTTTTTAAATGTATTTATTTTTAAATAAGTGATATATTTATGTGTTTCAAAACTTTAAAAAAATTGTACGATGAAAATTCTTCTTCCCATCGCAGTCTTCCAAATTTCCATTCCTCTCCACGCCTCACGACAA